GCCTTATTCTTGGTTCTCTAGCGAAGGCAGCAAAGTATAGCAGGAATGTAAATTAGAGCAAACACACATTAGGAGCAAGATCAGAGAGTGACTGAGAGGCTGGGGTCCACAGTTCTCTTTCAGGGCACATTCCCAATGACCTAAACCTCCCAATGGACCCCTCTTCTCAAAGGCTCTAGTGCCTCAGTAGCATACTCCTTGGGACCAAGCCATTCCATGTGGACCCTTTGGGGACCTTCATCTAAACTACAGCAGGTACTCAAAGAAAATTCTGGTGCCCATTTTCTGTGTCTTTTTTTTTGTCTCTTACTCTGTGGATGTTCCTTCCTTAGCATGGTAGCAATGAAATTGGCTTTGTAGGATGGAATTCATTCTGTCCACTGGCCATGCTGTTGTGAAGTGGTCCTCATGTGCTCTCTAACTGAAAAGTGTAATCTGAGTGAACTCTCATTGACCAACTGGGCTATGCTTGAAGCTGCCACGGCCACAAGTGGCACTTGTGACTCTTCTTCTGTGGCAGTGGCTGAGCACTGCTTCCTTGGCTTCCAAGTAGTCAGGTTTAGGAATCTTTGCTTGCAGTCACAGAGTGACTGGCTTTGTATTTTCTGACACCGTGTTTCCCAAATTGGACCCCGGGGGATTTTATTTTGACAACTGTTAGGAGAAGTTTGGATATGGAGGTTTATTGTTTCTGGACTTATAGAAACCACAAGAAGATGACCATTCTCCCACAAGATCACTCAGAACTACAGCATGCAAACACACTAAGTAAGTAGCATGAACCCAGCAATCTGCAGGGACCACTGTCATCCACTGTCAGTAATCATCCCTGGTTTTCTCCTTTAACCATACAGCAACATAAAGTGGAGCCTGAGTAAGACTCACAGGTTCCTGATTAATGAGATTCCCATTTAGTATTTTGAGCTATAGTCAGAATTAGTTCCCAAGTCTCTTAGTCATGTCAGGTGAGCTCTGTATCCTTTAGACGCCCCACAAGGCATGTCCCAACAGCAAAGGGTTACCTTGTCTGTCCGTTGTTGATCTACATTAATTAGTACAATGTCAGCCTTTGCCACACCTTCTGCATAATCCAGAAGGGAGGGACTTTCTGTTGGGGTTATTCTGAGTAAATGATTTTTTCTGGGAATGCCCTGTTTATAGTCCCTTTTTAATTGTTTACCACAATTGAAACACTTTACATTTCAATTTTTCTTCAAACCTCTGGAAATCACCTCTTCTATCCAAGCATCATCATGGCAGTGAGATTCAATATTTATTATATCTCAGAGCCATTCTTCCATGAGTCCTGATCTTGCCTTTAATGGCCTAATTATCCTTTTGCTTTGTGCATTAACATCTTCAAAAGCCAGAGATTCAATTATTATTTGTGTAGCTTCTGAGTTTGGTATCATTCTATTTACTCCTGGAGTCAATTTTTGTAAAAAATTAGTGAAGGTTTCTTCTGGGTCCTGTATAACTTTAGTAAATGTCTCAATTTTTGTTCCTACTTCTTCAATTCTGTCCTAAGCATTCAAGGCTGCTACATGGCATAATGCCAGGGTGTGGCCATCATATAGAGATTACTTTCTACACTAGCATAATCTCCCTCTCCAGGGAGTTGGTCTTGGGAGATTTCTATACCTCTAGTCCTACTTTGTTGTTCAATGGTCTTAGCCTCATCCTTCCATCAGGTCCTCCATTGTAATTGGGGACCAGCTTCTAAGACAGCTGTAACCAAATCTCTCCAGTCTTGAGGGATAATTCTATTACAAGTTGACCACAATTTTAACATGCTTCACAAAAGATGAATGCATGCCATATAAGACTATCTCTTCATTGAATCTCCTCAAATCTAGTATTTGCACAGGAGTCCATTCAGCTATTAACACAGCCTTGGGGATAGCTATCATTTGGCAGTTCCTATAAGGTTACTGGATAAATTAAAGTTGCCTATTTGAAAGCCTTAGGCTGTTTCTCTGTAACTTTATAATGCAATGCTGAGATTGGTTCTCCTTTAAATTCCTCTGTCTGTGTCTGAATAGCTCTATGATCTGTTTTAACAAGTTTTTATGAAACTTTTATCTTGGCACTCATATTAACCAACTTTTAAAATGATAAAACAAAAATGATCAAACAAATATTTATAATTGATATTACATACATACCATCTAAATTAATTATTCTCTCATTTAATTAGTCCATCTTAAAATCGTCCAGTGTATTATCAGAGACCTCACTCCCTCCATTGTAATAATGTTTCCAATTTTTTTATTGTGGAAAAAAAAACCCTCTCTTTTAACTAATTCCTCTCTTTAAAAATTCCCAATAGTGTCACCAAATCTGCCGACGATGACAACTCAGATGAAGGTGAAGTGTGAATGCTGATTGCTGCTCCATATAACTGTAGAAGCCTGAACGGGTTTCAAGGCCACTACCTACTTTGGCAGCAGCTCGAACAGGAGGTTCAGGGAAAGACAACAACCCACCGGAATATAAGAAGACAAAGAGCCAGCCATGTGCATAGGGGAACACATGAAAGTGGTTAACTCTGCAGTTTTTGGAGCTCAAAAGCCTGTGGAGCTTGCCACAGAGAGGCTACAACAGAAAAAATCGCAGATGCCAACAGAAGGCTTGGGGAAGAAAAGGATAATCTAGCCAGTGGGGTTGTAACTCCAGCTGCAGGTAGCTCCGGCCTGTGCTAGTGGCTGCAAAGCCAAAGGCAAGTACCTTTTTCCTGAATTTGTGCCCCAGAAGTTAGACGCCAGATGTAGCATGAATCCTAATTGTTCTTAATAAAAACACAAAGTCAGATATCAGGGTAAATGCTGAAAGATCAGAGAGACAAAGGAACAAGCCACAGCCACTTGTGACCTGGCCAAATCCTCAGCCAAAAGGGGGAGATCCTGTCTCCACCCAGCCATATCACTTCCTGTCTCAACCTCCCAAGTGCTGGGATCAAAAGCATGAGATCTCAAGTGCTGGGATTAAAGGTGGGTGCCATCACTGCCTGGCCTCTATGGCGAACCAGTGGTCTGGCTCTGCACTCTGATCTTCAGACAAGCTTTATTTGTTAGAGCACACACAAAATATCACCACAGAGAAGCCCTCTTTTGAGTTACTGACCAGGGCTGTCCAAGAGACTCCCAAACCTATAGCCTATTGCTGTTGCCCCCACCTGCCCCCACCACGCCCCAGGTGTAGAAGGGAAGGCCCTGTTGTGGTGGCACCATTCCCTGGGCAAGGAGTCCTGAACTTTATAGACAGGAGAAATCTAGAGCAAGCAAGCAGACAGCATGGATGTATCCATTTCCCTCTGTTCTTGACTAGGGATGTGATGTGACTAGCTATTTGAAATTCTGGCCTTCAGAATTACAATGATGATCTTTAATCAAGAACTATAAAACCAAATAAACCCTTTTGTCTTCTAACTTGATTTTTGTCAGGTATTTTATCACAGCCACAGAAATGGAAATGGAACACACAACAAACAAGAAGGACCACACGATCATGCCTGTAGAAAATGTAACAACCCATTCATGCCACAAACACTCAGCATTTTAGAAATGGAACCAAATTCCTCCCTTTGACAAAGGACAACACTGACAACAGCACTGGGATTGTGGGAAACAAAGAGTTTCCCATGAAAATGAAAAGGCAATGCTCCTTCATCATCACACTGGAACCCAGTCAGTGAGCGAGGGATAATAAAACAAAACAAAAAGCATGCAGATTTGCAAGGGAAAAAAGAAGTTTTCTCTTTTGCAGACAAGTTTGTCCAGCCAGAAACTCTTGACAGGATCCACAAGAAAACATCCTGAAGGGATTAGTGGCCATACCAAAGCTACAAAGTTTAAATATTAATATATAAAAAGCAGCCTCCTCCTTCTATGAACACATGAAATACATAAATTGATAACATAAATCCTACTACCCCAAATCAAGTATTCAAATAAAACTCCAAAAATACACACAGGACCCATATGGGGAGAAGCACAACACTGGGACTGAAGAAGTCAGAAACTGCTTCATGTTCCCACAGGTAAGAAGACTCAACATTCTGAAGACGCCAGCTCTTACCTACTTGCTATATAGACTCAGTGTAAAAAATTCCACTGCAGTGATGGTTTGAATGAGGATGGCCCCCATAAGCTCATGTATTTGTATGCTTGGTCCCCAGCTGGTAGAACTGTTCGCCCTGCTGGGTTTTGGTCTTGCTTTGGTCCAGTATTTCTTCACTACACCGTCTTTCCTCCCTTTTGGAATGGGAATATGTATTCTGTGACATTGTATGTCAAAACATGTAATTTGAGTTTTGCTTTAATAGGAGGTTACAATTAAAAGATTGCCTTGAGTCTCAGAAGAGGTTTTGGACTTTGAAATAGTGTTGAGGCTGTAAAAGACTATGGGGCATTTTGAAGTTTGACTAAGTCAATTTTGCTTTATGATATCACTACAAGCCTATGGAGGGCCAGAAAGTGGAATGTGGTGGTTTAAATAAACTTCCAGAGGCTCATATATTTGAGTGCTTGGTGTCTAGTTGGTGGAACTGTTTGGGAGGGATCAGGAGGTGTGGCCTTTTGGAGGAGGTAAGCCACTGGAGGTGGCTTGGACGTTTTAAAAGCCCACAGAACATGGACAAGCCTCTCTGTGGGGGTAGGGGAGGAACAGAACATGGATAAGCCCCTATTTCTGACAGAGTGTGCAGGTGGAATTGATTACAGAAACTGAAGGCTGTGGAGGATGGGGAACATGTGAAGGCTGGAGAATGGAGAGTTACTGTCTTGTCACCTCTTCCAACCTCCCTTCCCCCACTCAGGAGCCCTTTGTGACAGGGAGACAGAGGCTCTGTGATGCAGGCCTGGGCCCAGCTGAAATTCCCAGAAAAAACTCTCAGCATTCAGTTGCCTGAGAGCAACAGTGCTATACAGATGGAGAATTTTCTGTTCCTTCTGGAAAGTGTTGACACTTCATGGCTGACCCCCAGCTTCACTACTTGGGCAATGGACATGATCCTTGCCTTTGTGTGTGGGCTGGGGCTCTTCCACCTATTACTCCTCCTCCACCTTGACTCACCCTCACCTCCACCAGTGGAAAACACCACCACCCAAAAGGTAAGAATGCCTTAGCCCCAAACCAATGGAAAATAGTTCCCTCTCTCTCCCTTTTTATAGGCTCCACTTTCTAAATCAAATAGGAAGGTGGCTGACAGGGGAATCTCAGCTGAGAGCAGGACCCCATCCTCTTGAGAACTGGCAGGTAGGGCAGAGGGGAGAGTGGACTGACTCCAAGATGTCTGCTCTCACATCCCTTATACCCGAGAGAAGAAAGCCCTGTGACTCCGTGCTCAGGGAAGGTGTTTCTGGGACGGTTAGGGAAATCTGAGAAAGGAAAGGTTCTGAGCACTGGATCCTATGTCTCCCTCTACCACACATGCTTATAGACTCAGTGGAGCTGATTTGAAGGGGACCATGAGCTCCAGGACATGAGTCACCTCTGGCCTCAGGAGGCCACTGCTGGTAGTTCAGAGTTAAGCCTCTGGTTCCTGAGCAGAACACTGACCAGTGACATCCATGGTGGATCTCACAGAGACAGTCCCCATTTGTGTTTTCCAAGACAAAAAGAACACACTTGCCCACTTTATAGAAAAGTGAATGGGGCTGCACATGCTGTCTATCTCTGTCAGGTGGTGAAGAGGGAGTACAGCAAGGTCAGGAAGGAAATCAGGACCGAGAAAGGTAGGCTACTTCCTTCCCTGGTGAGGTGACTTCATCCACGGGTCCCCAAGTGATAACACCAAATGTGTTGCAGAAGCCCTGAGGAGGTGGCTCCTGGGAAGGAACCTATAACTGAAGACACTTCCCAGGAGGTTCTGTGCTCAGAATGAAGCTATGGACAGCCAGGACTGGGTGCTGCCTGGGGAGGGGCGGTGTGGGAGGAAGTGGTGCCATGCTGCCTGGATTTGGAGGCAAACTGGTTGTTAATCTTCTCTAAGACATTTTCCTCTTTCAGAACACTGGTCCTTCCCTCCCCTGATATTGAGATTTCGAAGCCCGTGGAGATCTTTAGAAGTGCAAATGCCTGGTCCATGGCATAGTCCTGTTCCACATGTGCCTTGCTCTCAAGGCATTTGGGCATCCGGCCTTGCCCACGCATGCCTGAACTCCTGTTTAACTTTTCATTCCCACTGAAGGGGCATTTCATTCCATCTCTGGTTAGATACTGGGTCCCTCCTTTACCCACCATAACCCAGTCTCCATCTCCAGATTACAGAGGCAGCAGGAAGAAACCCAAGGGGGACAAGGTACTGGTTTCCCTTCTGCACAGGTGAGCCATCTCCAGGTCTATCTGGCTCTTCCCTCCTCTTGTCTGTTATGTGATCAGCCCCGACCAGGGCACAAGGTTACCATGGGAATAGGGGCCCTCTGGATGGGTGGCATATGAGTACAGTCCTGGAGGTTAAGATAACAAGGAATTGTAAAAAGCAGAGTGTGGAACATTGGTTGTGATGGGCAGCGATGGTCCTTCCCTACTCAGCTTGCCCAGCCTCCTGGCTGCAATCATATCTCCTGTCTTCCACAGCATGCTAGAGAGGCTTGTCGAAACCATCAGCTTTTGCCAGCTCTTAGGACAAGATGCCTCGGGTGAAGCGTCTAAGCCAGAAGAAGCTGCCGAAGCCCACCTGCCACCTAGTCAGACCACAGAGAAGTCTGTGGCCACCAGTTTGTCCCTAGCGGTTTCCTCTGGTCCTCTCAAAGATTCTAAAATCTCGTCACCTGTCCTGCTGAATTCCTCAGCTTCTATTGAGTCACAGTTTTCTGTGAGTGCCTCTCAGCCACCAGAGACTCTGACTCCTGGAAGATGTTATTCACCACCACTGGCACCTTCCCACCCATGTCATCCTCCTGATCCTGTGGCTTGTCCTCCACCCATGCCAGATCCCAGCACAAAGGCTCCCTGGTGTGACTGGAAAACACTGGGGACCTCACAGAGCACACCTCTCCCAGGTTTGCCTTCTCCAATCCCAACCACCCCAGGACTTAACCATTCAAGGAAGCCTACCACCCCAGGCCTTAGCCACTCAAGCAGGGGGACTTCCACCACCCTAGGCCTTGACCACTCAAGCAGGCCTACCTCAACCACCGCAGGCCTTAACCACTCAATCAGGCCTACCTCAACAACCCCCAGCCTTGACCACTCAAGCAGGGGGACTTCCACCACCCCAGGCCTGAAGCACTCAAGCAGGTCTACCTCAACCACCGCAGGCCTTAACCACTCAAGCAGGCCTATCTCAACCACCCCAGATCTTGACCTCTCAACCTGGCCTACCTCAACTAATCCAGGCCTTAACAACTCAAGCAGGCCTAACTCAGCCACCACATGCCTTAACCATTCAAGCAGGGGGACCTCCACCACCACAGGTCTTGACCACTCAAGTAGGCCTACCTCAACCATCCCAGGCCTTAGCCACTCAAGCAGGGGGACTTCCACCACCCTAGGCCTTGACCACTCAAGCAGGCCTACCTCAACCACCGCAGGCCTTAACCACTCAAGCAGGCCTATGTCAACCACCCCAGATCCTGACCTCTCAACCTGGCCTACCTCAACTACTCCAGGCCTTAACCACTCAAGCAGGCCTAACTCAGCCACCACATGCCTTAACCATTCAAGCAGGGGGACCTCCACCACCACAGGTCTTGACCACTCAAGTAGGCCTACCTCAACCACCCCAGGCCTTAGCCACTCAAGCAGGGGGACTTCCACCACCCTAGGCCTTGACCACTCAAGCAGGCCTATGTCAACCACCCCAGATCCTGACCTCTCAACCTGGCCTACCTCAACTACTCCAGGCCTTAACCACTCAAGCAGGCCTACCTCAACCACCCCAGGCCTTAACCACTCAAGCAGGCCTATCTCAACCACCCCAGATCCTGACCTCTCAACCTGGCCTACCTCAACTAATCCAGGCCTTAACTACTCAAGCAGGCCTACCTCAACCACCCAAGGCCTTGGCCACTCAAGCAGGGGGACCTCCACCACCACAGGCCTTGACCACTCAAACAGGCCCACCTCAACCACCCCAGGCCTTAACCACTCAAGCAGGCCTATCTCAACCACCCCAGATCTTGACATCTCAACCTGGCCTACCTCAACTAATCCAGGCCTTAACAACTCAAGCAGGCCTAACTCAGCCACCACATGCCTTAACCATTCAAGCAGGGGGACCTCCACCACCACAGGTCTTGACCACTCAAGTAGGCCTACCTCAACCACCCCAGGCCTTAGCCACTCAAGCAGGGGGACTTCCACCACCCTAGGCCTTGACCACTCAAGCAGGCCTATGTCAACCACCCCAGATCCTGACCTCTCAACCTGGCCTACCTCAACTACTCCAGGCCTTAACCACTCAAGCAGGCCTACCTCAACCACCCCAGGCCTTAACCACTCAATCAGGCCCACCTCAACCACCCCAGGCCTTAACCACTCAAGCAGGCCTATCTCAACCACCCCAGATCTTGACATCTCAACCTGGCCTACCTCAACTAATACAGGCCTTAACAACTCAAGCAGGCCTACCTCAGCCACCACATGTCTTAACCATTCAAGCAAGGGGACCTCCACCACCACAGGTCTTGACCACTCAAGTAGGCCTACCTCAACCACCCCAGGCCTTAGCCACTCAAGCAGGGGGACTTCCACCACCCTAGGCCTTGACCACTCAAGCAGGCCTACCTCAACCACCCCAGGCCTTAACCACTCAAGCAGGCCTATCTCAACCACCCCAGATCTTGACCTCTCAACCTGGCCTACCTCAACTAATCCAGGCCTTAACTACTCAAGCAGGCCTACCTCAACCACCCAAGGCCTTGGCCACTCAAGCAGGGGGACCTCCACCACCACAGGCCTTGACCACTCAAACAGGCCCACCTCAACCACCCCAGGCCTTAACCACTCAAGCAGGCCTATCTCAACCACCCCAGATCTTGACCTCTCAACCTGGCCTACCTCAACTAATCCAGGCCTTAACAACTCAAGCAGGCCTAACTCAGCCACCACATGCCTTAACCATTCAAGCAGGGGGACCTCCACCACCACAGGTCTTGACCACTCAAGTAGGCCTACCTCAACCACCCCAGGCCTTAGCCACTCAAGCAGGGGGACTTCCACCACCCTAGGCCTTGACCACTCAAGCAGGCCTACCTCAACCACCGCAGGCCTTAACCACTCAAGCAGGCCTATCTCAACCACCCCAGATCTTGACCTCTCAACCTGGCCTACCTCAACTAATCCAGGCCTTAACAACTCAAGCAGGCCTACCTCAGCCACCACATGCCTTAACCATTCAAGCAGGGGGACCTCCACCACCCCAGGCCTTGACCACTCAAGCAGGCCTACCTCAACTACCCCAGACCTTAACCACTCAAGCAGGACTACCTCAACCACCCCAAGTCTGGAACACTCCAGCAGGCCTTACTCAAATATGCCAGGTCTTGACCACTCAAGCAGGCCTACCTCAACCACCCCAGGCCTTAAACAGTCAAGCAGGCCTACCTCTACCAATCCAGGCCTTGACCTCTCAAGTAGACCGACCTCGGGCTCTTCCTGGTACCAGGTAGCTGCCAAAACCTGGTGCCACTCCAACTCACCACATGGTGAGTCCTCAAAAGACCATCTGTTTCTTAGCCTCCAAAAGGTCTCGTTCTGGACAGGCCCCACATACATGCAGATAGACACAGAGAAGCCCTCTTTCATCAACCCTGATATCCAGCAGAGGCTGGAACTTGAGATTCAAAAGAGGGTTGAACTAAAAGTATGGAAGGGGAAAGGCAAAGAAAGGTGTGACCATGCCTTGGAATGTATGGACAATATGCTGCAGTCCTGGAGCAGCCAGCAGGCCACCACCAGAACCTGCAAATCAGAGCAATTTTCAGGTCATCAGCCGTTCTTTTACAAGAAATACAGCCAGCTTTTCTGGGGCCTCCCCTTTCTCCACAGTGAGTCCCTTGTGGTTACTGTCAACATGGCAGGTTCCCCTCCAGAGCCCCCCTCCATCTTATTCAATGGACTCTCTACTTATATCCCAACACTATTTCAGACTAATGTACATCCACATCTCTTTTCTCTAAAGCCCTTGCTTCAACACTTGGTCAAAACCCAACCTTTGACTCCAAAGTTATCCAGGTCCCAATCTCCACCAGTGGATGGAATCCAAACCCAGAGCTGTGACCCATCCTCTCTCCCAAGGCTACCAGACCATTCACCTCCAATTAGGGATTATGGGGCTTCTTGTCCTAGAGCTTCAAGAGTCCAATTTACGATCCCACCTGCTGCTCAACACCTAGAGCGACACCTTTTGAAGAAGCACCAAGAGAGTAAGTGCGATTTACCCCCCTTAGTTAAGAGGTCACAGGAAGAATTTCATCAACTCAATTCCAACAGTTGGGGCTCCCAGGGAAAGGGTTCTGTTGTCCACCTCCCCGGGAATTTCATTAAACCCGGGCTCCAGCAACAGCCGGAACAACACTTAAAAAAGACTTACACACAACGGCAATGCCCCCACAAGGACCAGAAAAAGTCTCAGAACAAAGTTCCAGGGATGGGTCAAGCAGAAGTTAATCACGGGACGTCATGTTCCTCAGCACTGAGAGATGAAAGCAGCCTTCAAGCACAGAGTGTCTCATCACAGGGTCTAGAAATATTCCAAATATGGAAGGACCCAAGCACGTATCTGACAAACTTTCTGGGAAGAGCTCTGAACGATCTGTATAGGAGCTCAGAAGATTACCTAGGCAAAGTTCTCGGGGCTGTTTCTGAGACAGAGGCAGAAAGTGGCCACATGAGACACCCAAAAAGTGACACTCAAAGTGTTTCTCCAGTGGGACCAGGAAAGAAGTTGCTAGAAGGTACCCCAAAAAATGACTCAAGCATCAAGTGGAGGCATGCCAAGGACAGTAAGGTGCATGTGGGCATTTGTCATGCCGTATGTATGGACCATGTATTGACCCCTCCTGAAAACTTGAATGATTGTACCACCGACAGGAAAACTTCTAGTGGGCCTTCCTTCCTAGATCCTGGCACTCAGAAGGTGCTGGAAACACATCTTACAAGACGCCTGGTGAGACACAGATGGAGCCTGCCCCTCATAGGCCTCAAGACCATACATGTTTTCAATAAGACCAAGGCTACAGCTTTGCCCTTTCCACAGCTCTCCGACTCTTCTTTGTCCTTCTGGGACTCTAGAGATGACTCCATTGTCAAAAAGGCCAGTGTCCTGGGAGAACCTTTTCAGAAAGGCAAAGACAAGAATGTGAAAATAACCTCCACACAGAACCCTCCTTCTGCCTCCCAGCTCGGATTCCTGAGAGAGACTCCACCTAGAGAAAATTCTGGGCCCTCTGAGGCCCCTACAACTGTCGAGGGAGACAATATGACTTCTCTGTCCACCTCACAAAGTCTCGTGGGCAGAGACTGGCACAATGATATGGTTATTAGATCTTGGACAGGCAGCCCAGAGTCAAATCCAGGCCTAGTGAAGGGTGCACATGAGTCACAGGAAAGAGAGCATCTGATTTTAAGCAATACCTACAATTGGGTGTCAGTTCGGGAGATCAGTGTGGCATCCCAGTCACCAAGTAGCAGGGATACCAGGGAACTAGAGGAGGCAGAGGAGGAACAGTCCTGTGACTGTGTACTCATCATGGACGCTGGGGAGATGACCAACTCTGAAAGCAACCATCAACATCTAAGGGATTCAGAATCACTGGAGCCCAGTGAAAGTCCATCCCCTTCTACCCAGGATCCAGAAGACTCAGGCCTGAGCACACTTCACTGCTCGTCCCCTGGTGTTGTCTTGCAGGACAGTACCATTGAAACATTCTTTAAAGACTGTGCCCCTGAGGTTCTCCTTGCTGCAGATATGCTGGCCTCTAGGGCCTCCCAGTTCAGGTTCAAGAATGTGCCTGCTACAAGCAAGTCAACCTACCAGGGCAGGTACCCTTCCTTAAAAGAAAGGGATATGCCCAAGATTTCTAAACCACAGGAACCATGGCCTAGCCATATCTTTGTTCCAACTGACAAAAAAAAATGTCATAGTCCCAGGCAGGACACATGTCTTTCAGGGATGAGGCCTGTCCAAGCCTACAGGTCAAATACTAAAAAATGCAGTTCTTCCCAAGAAACAGGGAAGTTTGGGGATAGGATAAAAAACTTCATAAGGTCAATTTTCAACCCTAAAGCCAAATTACAGGAGAACTCCCTGGAAAAAATCAAGGCCTTACCAGCCACAACCCAAAGCCCAGGGTCAGTCCTGAGTAGATTATTCATGGCCCGACAGGGAGCTGAAGCACAGGACCTCATGACCTCTGTTGGATGGATTCTAGAGGAAAAGTTGGGGGTTCACCATTGGTGTGCTCCCTCAAAGAAAAATTTGCACCAAGAACCACCCCAAGCCCAAGTGAGCAGGCATGTCTGCCACCACAGGATTCCTACTGCAGAAACAATACAAGGGACACCAAAGAAACAACACACTAGCTGTGTTCACCAAGCCAACCCCAAGGTACAAAGCCAACCTTCACAAAGCCAACCTTCTACAGACAGATGGATGCCCTATGGTAACTGGGCCCAGGTGTCCAGAGAACCTGTGTCCCGACCCAGGCCCTGTCAGCACAGGGCACAGGCACCATGTGTCCCACGGAACCGTGTCCACTGTCCTAGGCACTGTCCCTACAGAAGTGGACTATAGAAAGTAATTAAACACTTTTCCCCAAAAGAACATGGTCTCCGAGTGCTAATGACGTCATTTTCCAAGCTAGGTATTACTTCCTCTGTGTATGTTTCATCTGCAGAGTATGTCTTCAGTGCTAGGCCACAGGGAAATGTAGGCATCTGCTCCACCTTAGTACTACTTCTGGAGGGGAAATGGCTCCACAGAGAGGGGACAGTGGCATTTGAGGTATCACCAACTCTTAGGTCCATCATTGTAGTTAGTGTTAATCATACTATAATTATAGAAATGAAAGTCTTTAGGATTTTTTGGGAGGGTGCTAAGTCAACACTAAAAGACCCAAACAAACAAGAAGTATTTAGGATTGTGGGAGTGGTGGGGTGGGCAATGTCAATCACACAACTGCTGTGGGATGTCTGTATGGCAAATGTGTTGCTGATTAGTCAATAAATAAAACACTGATTTGCCATTGGCTAGGCAGGAAGTGTAGGCGGGACAAGGAGGAGAATAAAGCTGGGAAGTGGAAGACTGAGTCAGAGAGACACTGCCAGCCGCCAAGATAACAAGCAGCATGTGAAGATGCCGGTAAGCCACGAGCCACGTGGCAAGGTATAGATTAATGGAAATGGATTAATTTAAGCTGTAAGAACAGTTAGCAAGAAGCCTGCCACAGCCATACAGTTTGTAACCAATATAAGTCTCTGTGTTTTCTTGGTCGGGTCTGAGCAGCTGTGGGACTAGCAGGTGAGAGAGATTTGTTTTATTTTATTTTTTTTATTTTTTTGGTTTTTCGAGACAGGGTTTCTCTGTGTAGCTTTGCGCCTTTTCCTGGAACTCACTCTGTAGCCCAGGCTGGCCTTGAACTCACAGAGATCCGCATGCCTCTGCCTCCCGAGTTCTGGGATTAAAGGCGTGCGCCACCACCACCCGGTGAGAGAGATTTGTTTTGACTATGGGCCAGGCAGGAAAACTCTAGCTACACACAACCTAAACAAGAAGTCCTTAGGATTAGTTTTGTGCTAAGTCAACCCTGTAAGACCCCAACCTAAGAGCCAGCTCACTATGTCTTTTCCTGATTTGCTCCAAACTGTCCTTTGTGTAGCTGTGTAGAGGCAACAGAGAGCCAGCTCAATGTCTTCATGAGTCACAAAGTAGGCACAGTGATGAGGACAGTTGTGTGGCATCCTTGAGTGAAAAGCAGGACAGTCAGGACCTCTGGATGTCCTGCCGAGGAATAAAGGACCTAGATCCTAGGGACCCCCTGCTCACCTCAATGGTGGCTGTCAACAAGCTGAGTTCTCCAGGCCCTCCCACCTCAGCCTGGATGACAAAGCAGTGTCACCCTGTCCTATGGCTGCCTTCAATGCCAGAATGGTGGCCTGGATGGATGGACAATTTTTCATAAAGAGTGGTGGCAGCTGCAGAGTGGTGGCTGACAGTCTCATGACTCCTGGTCATTTGCCATTCCTTCTGGTCACTGAACAGACAGTACCTATCTGATTGTGGGCATGATGAACCTCAGGAGGAAGGGAGGAAATAAAGGTTAGAGCCAAGGCAGGAGGCCATGTAATATGAAGATGCCCTAAAAGTTTCCATGCAGGTGAAGCCCCAGCCCTCCCAGTACAGACGCTGACATCAGTGTCTGAGCCACTCACCTTGGCCTCACCCCAGGCTCTCCACCACTGACTGGAGGAGCCCTCTAGCTTAAAACGACTTGAAACAAATCCTGCAAGGGTGAAAGCTTAGCTTCCTAACAGCATGACTAATAAGCTACATGTTCTTACCTTCTGAATTCCAGAGACGAGCTGCTGGAAAGGCCAGAAATCAGGAATTCTGAGTGTCCCTCACAGCCTGGTGGTCTCTGCACACACACACACACTCAGCCAGCACTACTCCCAAGGGAAAGGAGGACAGCTGAAAGGGTTGAGGGGATACACTGTGGCCACACAGCACCTCATTCTAGGCCTCCAGCTCTTGCCTTCCCATGAGAGCAGCAGAAAAGGCCATCTCACAGGGCCGGTTCACACAGTGGAAGGGATTTGTCCAAAGTGCAGATGCTCTTTGGATCTCTGGGCAGGCCAAAAGGGTCCTTTCCTGGGCCTCACTTGGCTTCCTCCCCAGGTTTCCTTGTCCCAGTCCCTGTTCTCTTGGGAAACAAGTGAAGTAACTCCATACAAAAGCAGCCAATTCTCAGGGTACCCTGCACTGTTCCTTACAGAAGGCAGTCAACAGCTCCAGCTGGTAGAAAATCTTGTTCCAGAAGGTCCCACCAAGGTAGAGGACATGGACATGGGGCCTGTTCCAGCACACTTCCCGAGACTACATGTGATACTCAGCAGCTCTTTAGGAGTGGATATGGAACCCACAGGCTCTTCTTAGTTGGCCCCCTATCAATGACTGCAGCCTCTACAGCAGTCCCAGAAGCCAGAGTGAAGCCAGGACACTGGGGCTGGCACTTCTGGGTCCTCTCAGGAACCCAGGAGGCACATTTGGGTCCAGTAAAGACTCGGGAGTGGGTCCCAGGAGTCCTCAGGGTACAAGTGCTGGAGACAGTGGTACAACAGACCAGGCAGCAGCAGGAATGCTTATGCCACTGTCAGCCCTGTCAACTATAATGGACATACCCTAGACCTGGAGAACCTCACAGAGACCTCTACAGTCATTCTCACTGACAGACCCCCAAAGAGATCTCCACAGAGTCCCAGATATAGACAGACACTGAGAAACATCCCAGAATTCCAGAAACCACTCCTAGAGACCTTCAGGGATCAAAACAGAGATCCCCAAATGTCTCCATAAAGAGTCCCATACAAAATCCAACAGAAGTAAGTTGCTACAGAATCCCAGGCAGAAATCCACATAAAGAGATCCCCCAAAATCCTTTCCAGAGATTCAACAAGACACGTTCACAGACTTCTCCAACATGGAAAACACACACTCTTTATTTAAGCCCCTGACAGAAATCCACATTGACATTCTAGAGTCCCTGAGATCTTCACAGACCCTCCCACACATCCTCACAGATGTCCACAGACATTTGCAGACAGCTACACAGTCAGACAGTAGTGACTAATGGTATCTGTAAAGGCCCTGGGAGAAAGCCACAGAGACACAGTAAACCCTTCCTGCTGTGGATATCTGTATGCTGTGAATGTGTTGCTCTGATTGGTTAATAAATAACGTGCTGACTGGCCAGTAGCCAGGCAGGAAGTATAGGCAGGACAAAGAGAGAAGAGAATTCTGGGAAGAGGAAGGCTGAGTCAGGAGACGCTGCCAGTCACCACCATAAGAAGATGTGAAGGCAGATCTAGAAAAAGGTAAAAAAAAAAAAAACAAACCCACATGTTTAAATATAAATAAGAATTATGGGTTAGTTTAAGATATAAGAACTAGATATCAAGAAGCCTGTCACGGCTATATAGTCTATAATAATATAAGCATCTGTGTGTTTATTTGGGTCTGAGTGGCTGCGGGCCAAGGCAGGACTGGAGATAACCCCAGCTACACCTTCCAGGGAGATTGTCACTGGCATCTACATAGAGATCTTCAGAAGTCCACCCTTCCCTCCACAGGTATGCACACAGAAACCCACAGAGTCCTCTACAAAGACCTTCACAGAGACATCACCCACACACTCTCAAAAACACAGAAATACTCCCACAAGTTCCACACTGAAGCCTTAACAAAGACCCCCAAAGAGACTTCTGACAGTCGATACATCTTACAACATGCAAAAGTGACAAAGTTCAGAGTCTTCACAGAGTTTTCCAAGAGTCTTTTAATAGAGACACTAAGGGAAACCTCAGAAACTTCCCACAGCCCTAAGGTATAGATGTCACTGGGTGGCCTCTGGGTGTCACACAGCACTCTCTCACAGTGGTATCACCCAGCCTTTCAGACCTCACACAGCACCCTCAGAAAGACTGCCATACAGACCCCGCCCCTCGGACCTCTCATGACACATGAGACCAGGCAGCCTCCCAGTGATCTCTTATCATTTCTTGGAGTTCCACACAGAACATATAGAGGTCTCACAGAGAGACACCATGGATAAACCTGTCACAAAATCATACACAGTCACTAGGCGAGATCGCAGGGAGATTGTCAACAGGACCTCTTCAGCACCACATGAAGGGTCTCAGATGTGAACTCAAGAGGGACAGTGAAATGGATTGTTTGGGGTATGGAGTTTATTAGAAGAGTGATTCATGCCATGGGCTGGCAGGTAGACAATGGCCTGAGGAGAATTAAGGGTCCACACCAGAGACAGCATAATTGCGTTGGGGGAGGGCACTAAAGAGAAGGCTCATAGGCACACATAGGGGGTTGTTCTTATGCCTTTGAGTATGAGGGAGGTTTCACAGTACAAGCCTGCAGCCAGGCTCTCTGATTCCCAGACAGGAGGCAGGGAAAGGGGCAAGGAGCAAGACATGTGTCCATCAATAACTCAACCTATGCTGTAAACTCACTTCTTGGGTGAGTGACCCTGGCACATGAACTCTGTTAGCTGGATCTTCAGTGTCAATAGGGTGCTTCTCACTACCTGTGTGAGGGGAAGCGCTGCTTGGCGGCTGTGGCCTGAGCAGCAGTTGGATTCCTTCCTTCTATTCTTAGACCATAGAAAACTCCTCAGATTTTATAAGCTTCCCAGAATTGTCTACCCAGAAGACGCAGAAACACACCTCTGACTACAGTTTTCTAGCATGGAGAATGTCAGAGAGGGAGGGAGGGAGGGAGGGAGGGAGGGAGGGAGGGAGGGAGGGAGGGAGAGAGAGAGAGAGATAGAGAGAGAGGTCTGCCACAGTGTCCCAGCCTTACAGTAACTCATGGTCACCCTGGCGTGTCTCTGACTTCAGAGACAGTGCAGAGATCTCACAGAGACATGACACTGTTCCAGAGACCCCCCCTACAGAATCCCTCCAGACAGACATCTCAGAGTTCCCACAGACATTACCCAAGAGGCTGGCATTACCAGACGGACCCTGACCTAAAAGCCCAACACAGTCAATATGGCCACCAAACAGGGTTCTCTGCCTGGTGTAAAGCACAGGAATTTATTTTCTCCCTGGAATTCCATGGCCTCTATTCAGACTTACAGATTTAATGTTCATACCTACAAACTTACGTATCCTATGGGCTTTTCCATAAATCTAGCCTCTGATCCGCAGTTATTGTATAGTGGTTTTCTCAAAATTGTCACATTCCTTCCAGGAGGGGGCTGGAAACTCAGAAAGTTAACAGACCTCTCATGTCTGTAAAGGCCCCTCCCCAGCCTCTTGAGGATAAGAGGACTCAGTAAAGGACTGCTGGGAGAGGAAACTTCCAGCAGCTGAGCCCTGGAGAGGAAATACTTGGACCAGTCAAGCTGCTTCCAAAATGTGTAAGAGTTCCAGGCAGTTTATGTGAAGGGTCACCATGCTGCGGTGGGCTTTTCAGTGATGCAGCTGCCCATAAGTCATTCCTGTCCCCAAAGTGACCCCTCGCCCCTCCTTGTGGTGGTATTGTGTTCCCCAAAATATTGTGTACCCTAATAAACTTATCTGGGGTCAGAGAACAGAAAAGCCACTAGATACTTAGGATAGGCAGTGGTAGCACACGCCTTTAATCCTAGCATTCCAGAGGCAGAAATCCATGTGTTCAAGGATACAGCCAAGCATGGTGACTCATGCCTTTAATCCCAGAAAGCAAGCTTTCAATCCCAGGGAGCGGTGGTAGAAAGCAGAAAGGTATATAAGGCGTGAGGACCAGAAATTAGAAGCATTTGGCTGGTTAAGCCTTTAGCTGGTTAAGCTTCAGGCTTTTGAGCAGCAGTTCAGCTGAGAGCCATTGGGATGAGGACTTCCAGTCTGAGGAAACAAGACCAGTAGAAAAACTGGCAAGGTGAGGTTAGCTGTGGCTTGTTCTGTCTCTCTGATCTTCCAGTGTTCAGCTCAATACTTGGCCTCAGGTTTGATCTCATTAAAAAGACTCTTTAAGATTCATGCTACATCTCCTTCTGTTAGTAACCCCAATAACAACTCATTGGTTCCCCAAGCTGGGCTTTGGAGCAACCATTACTTTGGTCTATGGCTGTTTTCCTTTCTGGGGCAAGCAGGCATGTATGTATGTGTCTCTTAGAAAAAAATCTCTCATACAACATGGTACACAGTCACAAATTTTAGACATAAAAAGTATTGTCACCTCTCATGAGAGACAGTGTCTTATTTGCCTAGTTTTAGTTGTGATCTACTCAGTTATGTCAGTGACACTTTTTTATGTTTCTTATTCCATTGTGGACAAGATCTGAACTCATGATAGCTGAATATTTACTCTAAACATAATCAGCCATAGGAATCCAATGATCTACCAAAAGACATGTGGACCCAGTCTCCTACAGAAGGCATCATAGTCTTCTGGGGAAGATGGAGAATATGTTTCAGTCCCTAGATCTGATCCTAAGGAGCAAGCTCCTTGTTCTCAGTTCTCACAAACATGTCATGGACAGAGGAGGTTACTTCATGAATTTGGGAGAAATGCAAAGGGAGAGGGGAGAGAAGAAAGCCCTTCCCATTAGAAAATGAGAGGGAGAGAGAAAACAGCTTATAACTGTTTTACACACACACACACACACACACACACACACACACACACACACACACACACACCCCAGGAGCCCAAGCCTTCCTATGGGTCCCAGTCCCCAGAGGCAAGACCATCTGCTTCATACTTCAAAGGGCTCCCATGTGTCCATGAATCACAATGGTTGACAGCCACATCCCAGCAGCAGTGAGGATGTTTGCTTTTGTTGGCTTTTGCTTTTGCCCAGTCCTCTGTAAGGGAAACAAGGACCAAAGAACAGTAGGGAGCCGGGTGTCCTGGGCCTGGGTTTGGGCAGTTGGGTCCTTGAGGGGTCCAGGCAGCTGTCCCTGGGGAGCCGCATGATCCCTAGTCAACCTGGTCCACTCTGAAACCTGAGAGGACTCTGTGAAGAACTGCCTACCCCATCAAAGTTTCAAATCTAATCATGGCCCTCCTCTCCCTGCCTGGGCAGCTACCCTGAGAGGGCTCTGGGACAGGTTGGCAGCTGATCCAGGAGCTCTGGGGAGCAGGCCTCTGCTGCATAAGGGCCTGCAAAGAAACGTACCCTGTATACCCTGGTCATCAGGGCAAAGTGGTCCCAAGCTCCCGGGAGGACAGTAGTGCCCTGATCCCAGCCCACCTAAGTTGTGCGGAGGCACACAGTGACCTGCAATCCAACACAGTAGAGAGCTGCCTTCAACCACACTCACTCCAAGAGTGAGTGTCTCTGACTCTCCACGCTAACACTGACCAGTGCTGGAGGCAGGGTCAACAGCTCCCCACCTCAGGCCCCGGGCTCGGCAACACTTGGCCAGCAGTGCAGAGCTCGTATCAAGTAAATTCTTGTGCGCTGACTCTGGAAGCAAACTCAACATCCAGCAGCACCTGATGAACACTTGCTCAAGTGTCTGTGTCACTATGCTGGGGCTGGAGTGTGCACCTCAGAAATTCACACACTGAAAACTTAATCCTCACATTTTTGTTAAAGCATTTGGAAGTGGGGCCATTGGGAGATAATTAAGGTTAGACGAGGTAACGAGGAGAGGGGCCATCATGGTAGCTTTGTAAGAACAGAACATCTCAGCTGGAATGCTTGCTCTGTCTCTCCACGAGGCCCTCACCACATACTAGCACCAGATTCATGGACGGCCAGCCTCTAAAGCCATAAGCCCAACATTTCCTTACTTATGACTAGGGATTTGTCACAGCGGCGGCTTATGCATATTGGGCCCACACTAGCTCTTCTCTCAGCCCTGTTCATTAAAAATTAGTCCAACTGCTCCACTCTGCTGTAGCTGCCAAAACAAAGTGCCAGCGACAGGACAGCTACACAGCAGACTCCGGGCTGAAGCACAGGTGGGACAGGGAGATGGAGGAGTCGCTGGGTGGCCTCTTCCCAGTGCCCGAGAAGGCCAGTTCTAGGCTGCTCTACCATCCATAAGCCAAGCTGCCGCTCCCCAATCAGCACATTTTCTATTGTTTCCTTCTGGGAGTGTGTCTTCCAAACACTCCCTTTTGTTTTTGGTTCTTTTGTTGTTGTTGTTTCAAAACAGGGTTTCTCTGTGTATCCTTGGCTGTTCTGGAACTCATTCTATAGAACAGGCTAGCCTCAAACTCACAGAGATCTGCCTGCCTCTGCCTCCTGAGTGCTGGGATTAAAGGTGCTGCACCACCACCACCTGGTTAACCCTCCCTTTTGTAAGGGCACTGTTCCTTAGGAATAGGACTCACCCGAAGTCCTCATGGTATCATCTCCTGAAACCCACTCTCTAAAGGAAGGTCACAATCCAAAGAACCAGGAGTCTGACCACAGCGTATCTTCCTTTTTTGCAGAGGGAACCACAATTCTATACTAGTACAATATTCATGTTATAAAAACGTCAAAATGACCCTCATTTTAATACCCCTAAACTGGAAACTAGGGAATGGGAGATGGTTCTGTGGGTAAAGAGCCTGCAACCAAAATATGAGGACCTAACTTTGGATCTCCAGCACCCACATAAAACCTGGGTGTGGTGGCATTCATCAAGGCTAGCACTGGCAGAGCGCCAGGCAGATCTCAGGAGGCTCACTGTCTCCAATCCAGCTGAAACAATCAGCTGCAGGTCAGTGAGAGAATCTGTCTCAAAAAATAAGGTGTGGCCACCACACATGTTCCCTCAGGAAAGCGCGCGCGCACACACACACACACACACACACACACACACACACACACACACACACAGATACACACAGGTGCACACACAGAAACTGGAAACTTGTGGCTGCAGAAAGAGTCATACACCCCAGAGTCCCATTCTTGTGGCCACTTACACAGGAAGTCACTTCCAAGCCTGCAGGAAGTTGAGCCCACCCCAGTGCTGCCTCTCCTGACATCACACTAACACTACACACACCTGCTGCCAGGGCTTCCTTAATGGCTCCACATGCCTTTCCCACCTCAATGACTGGCAGTTACTCCACCACATGAGAAACCCCTAATGCTTCAGCTTAAAACCTTTCACTAATGACAATGGAAAAGAGGTAAGATGATACACAACCCCAACACTTAAAACATCTCTATCCTATCTTTCAGATAATTTACACTTTTATTGGCAGGAAATGACTAAGAAAACAGCACACACCTAAACACACCCTCTATCACCTCTGCCCATCCATGGATAGTTAACAAAACTATGTGGAAACCAGCTTCCACAATTAGTCAAGTTTTGCACCTTACTATATTTTCAGTCCCCTGCTAAATCTCCTTAGATCTCAGACAATGCAATGTGGAGTGGGGGTGGGCTTGGCAGTAATAAATGCTTAAAGGGAATTGATTCTTTCCTATCATGTTACCCAAAGGATGCTAACCTGTCTTGCTGTGGGATGGTCTGTATGTCAAATGTGTTGCTGATTGGTCAATAAATAAATCACTGATTGGCCCGTGGCCAGGCAGGAAGTATAGGCGGGACAAGGAGGAGAATAGAGATGGGAAGTGGAAGGCTGAGTCAGAGAGACACTGCCAGCCGCCATCAGGATAAGGAAGATGTAAAGTACCGGTAAGCCACAAGCCACGTGGCAAGGTATAGATTAATAGAAATGGATTAATTTAAGCTGTAAGAACAGTTAGCAAGAAGCCTGCCACGGCCATACAGTTTGTAACCAATATAAGTCTCTGTGTTTATTTGATCGGGTTTGAGCGGCTTGGGACTGGCAGGTGAGAGAGATTTGTCCTGACTGTGGGCCAGGCAGGAAAACTCTAGCAACACTGTCTCATGTTGATAGGCACAAAAATATCTTTATTTTCATTTAAAATTTTTATTAATTTATTTTTATTTTATGTATATGGGTATTCTGTCTGCATGTATGCCTGTCTACCACATATCTTCCTGACACCTGCAGAGACCAGAAGATTCCCCTGGAACTGGTTACAAATGGCTATGAGCCACCATGTGGTTGCTGGGAATTGAATCCAAATCCTCTGGAAGAGCTGTAAGTGCTCTTAAATGTTGAGCCATCTTAGTAAGATGGACTCTTGGCTATTCTACTGTCTTGTCTTCTACATAGTTTCAGGATAAAGGCATGGTTGAGTTTACATAGAAGAATCTAGACACCATATCTCTTCAGTCAGTCAGTGACAGGATACTCTATTCCAGGGGGTTACCACCAGAAAAGTCATTTAAAACAGGCATGTTAAACTGGGTGTGGTGGTGCACGCCTTTAATTCCAGTACTTGGGAAGCACACACACGCAGATCTTTTGAATTTAAGGCCAGGATGTGTAGCTAGAGTTTTCCTGCCTGGCCCACAGTCAGGACAAATCTCTCTCACCTGCCAGTCCCACAGCCCCTCAGACCCAACCAAGTAAACACAGAGACTTATATTGCTTACAAACTGTATGGCCGTGGCAGGCTTCTTGCTAACTGTTCTTACAGCTTAAATTAATCCATTTCCATTAATCTATACCTTGTCACGTAGCTCGTGGCTTACCGGCATCTTCACATGCTGTTTGTCATCGTGGCGGCTGGCAGTGTCTCTCTGACTCAGCCTTCCACTTCCCAGAATTCTCTTCTCTGCTTGTCCCGCCTATCCTTCCTGCCTGGCTACTGGCCAATCAGTGTTTTATTTATTGACCAATCAGCAACACACTTGACATACAGACCATCCCACAGCAAGGATGGTCTACTAGTTGGACCCTATCTCAAACAATCCAACAACAACAAAAGAAACAAAACACAAACCCAGGCCTTTTTTTGTTTGGATTTTGTTTTTGAGGCAGGTCTCACTATGTAGCCATGGCTGGCCTGGAACTTGTTATGCAGACCAGAAGTGTTAGGACTAAAGGAGTGAGCCACCATACCTATCAAACCCAGGCCTTTAAAAGTTAGGCATGGTGGTGTATGCCTGAAATTCCAGGAACATTTGAAGTTCAAGGTGAGCCTAGGCTACACAGTGAGACTTTATCTCAAAATACAGACAAGTACTTAACAAACTTAAATACAAAAATATATTAATGATGAGGCAGAAATAAGGGATGGTATTTCACCATAGCTAAAAAACAAACAAACAAACAAACAAACAAGCACCACACCAGACTACAGAGACTGGAAAACTGCTGACAAATTCACATATGACTTTTCATGTCAATGTGAAAATACCTTTAAAACTACATAGATCTCACACACACACACACACACACACACGGACCTTTATTTTTCAGGTATACTATACAAACCTCAAATTCTACAAAATACACAGAACCTGAGAACAATAGAAATCTCTATTCAAGATAACTTAAAATTTATGCTGACCCCTCTTAAACAAAATTAATTTAGGAGTAAGTCCAGATAACCTTGATTTTCTCAATAATTGGACGATAGCAGGCAAACATCTGTTCAACTCAAGAAATAGGCAACCCATAAAGAAATTACCCAAGATGAAACACTACTAGTCTACAGAATTATTCAAATAATCATAAATACCAGTTTTGTTTTGTTTTCTCTCTCCCTAGGAAATGCGATACACAAAGAATTTTCCTAAGTCTGTGTTGGTTCCTTTGGGGGAGTAAGAAGTCACATTGTAAAACAGAAAATTACTCATTTCTTTAAAAAAAATTTAATTTTAGTGACTCAGTAGCTATAACTAGCCTAATATTGGACCTCGGTATAGAATAAGAAAATCAAGTATGCTCTGTCTCAAATATTCTTCATGAAGAAATTCCAGATAAGTTCAGCTTGGTGGCACATACTTAATCCCAGAACTTGGGAGTCCCAGGCAGGTGGATCTCAAGTTCAAGCCCACCCTGGTCTATAAAGTGGGCTCCAGACAGGTCAGCCAGGGCTATTCAGAGAAACCAAAAGAAATAAAGAAATGAGAGAGAGAGAGAGAGAGAGAGAGAGAGAGAGAGAGAGAGAGAGAGAGAGAGAGACCAAAAGAAATAAAGAAATGAGAGAGAAGAAGAAGAAGAAGAAGAAGAAGAAGAAGAAGAAGAAGAAGAAGAGAAATTCTAGATAGCTCTTCTCCCCCACCCCCAAATGGTGTCTTTATTATATATAAAGTGTTCTACCTGCATGCATGTCTGCATGCCAGAAGAGGACACCAGATCTCATTACGATGGCTGTGAGCCACCATGTAGTTGCTAGGAATTGAACTCAGGACCTCTGGAAGAGCAGTCAGTGCTCTTAACCTCTGAGCCATCTCTCCAGCCCTCAGATAGCGCTTGTAATGGAGTATTATCATTACCTATAAGCAGCAACTTTTGTGCTGCGACCCGCGCAGCTGGAGCACGAAATCTGGCGAGGGATGCGGAGGTTATAGACACCCAGTTCAGTTTGTCAGGGAAGCAGCTCTCTTTATTCGTACCAACAGGGGCTTATACACCCCTCTAACAGCAGGAGTCAAGGAACGGTTACTCTGTATCTGTAGGCAAGCCGGACACTGTTTTCCAAACAGGAAAAACCACAGGGGAACTGATCCCCAGCACTTTCCGTAACCCAACTGCACATTTTTCACACAAACAACTTAACTGGGACAGGACAAAAAAGGGCATTTAAGATTAAGGCAGCAAATTTATTGCTGCCGACACTTTTGATAACGTTATCAAATGAAGTGAAATTCACTGTTAACCAACATGAGCGCTCTGTGCACCGGGATTTATCTGCTTGCTCACAACACCATCTCCAGGCTTCAGATCTGTGTGGTCCAATACATAGCCACTAGTCATATATGGCCACTGACATTCACATTTTTTATGAATTATTGTAGGGGCACCCCCTAGGGTGTCCTGCACATGCAGGAAAACATGCTGGTCAGATGCAGCAGGGGTGGTAGCATGTGGAAAGTCATCCACACCCAGGTGCTGCATATGTGCGGAAATGGTTTATTATAATAGGAGATAAACAGAAAAGAGAGAGAGAGAAGTGTGTACACTTGGCGTCAGAGAAGGAAGAGGAGGAGTTTTTTCCTTAGAATGAGGCTTTTACATCAGGGGGCAGGGCGGCGTCAAGGGGTGGGTTTTAAAGGGGAGGGTCAGAATATTAACAACATTAAAATACAGTTACAATTCATTGCCAGTGCCTATTATCACATGGCATTAGTGACTGTCATATTGAAGAAGCCTTCAGATAGAAGACACATAAGTTCTGTAGGACATGGCAGGGAAGATCAGTTGTTCAACAAACTAGCATTCTCCCAACACTGGCATTTGGATTTCATATTTTCTTAAAAAAACAAAACAAAACAAAAAAACCAAAAAACCTAACCCTTCAACTATTCTTTAAAAATCCTTCAAAACGTTACACGTTTATAACAGAAATTGTGGGCATAAGAGTGGCTACTCAATTTTCATAAATTCCCAATTATTCTGTTTTTCTAAACCACTCTCCCCCTCCACGGGCAAAGTTTACTATTTATGAAAAGGCATTCGTCCCACCTATAAACGCCCACTCCCACAAACCCGGTCTCGCCATCAGTTCCAACTGTGGCTTTGAGGACTTGCGTGTCCTCGGCACCCCTCCCAAGTGCTGCTTTCCGGAGTCCTGCCTGACTCCAGGAGGCCAGGACAGCCGAGGCTCCGTCCCCTGTGCGCCCCGGAAATAGGAAGCACCGCGGAGCCAGGTCCCGTCGCTAGGCCCTGCCCGGGGGCTCACGGGAGGCTCCGGCAATGGACGTACCTCATACAGCGCCTGCACCATCTCCACCAGCACCCACTGCTCCGCCACTGTCGCCATGGTCAGCCACCCGGCTTCCGGCAGGCAGGTCATAGTGCGCGGCGCGGACTAGTGACGTCACAAAACCTTGAGGGCGGGGCCGGGAGTTGGGCATCGGCTCCTCAAGCATGTCAGTAGTTTCTAGACCAGGAAGGTGAAGACAGTTGATCATACAGAGAGACAGGAAGTGACAGAGTTGCGCAGGAAGAGGAAATGATGTAGCTGGGTGGAGAGAGGGAATGAGATGGCAGAACAGAAAGGCATATAGGTGTGGGTATACAGGAAGAGTAGGTCCCTTTGGAGAATGAGGTGTCAATGAGGTGAGGTTGGCTTGTGGCTTTTCCTATTCCTCTGACCTATCAGGTTTTCACCCCAATATCTGGCTCTGGTTTTTTTTTTTTAATTAATCAGACTGTTTAGCAATTTGTCTCACATGTCATTTTTTAAAAAACTTTGACCATTCTTACAAGTGTGTACTTGTGTCTCATTTTGGTTTAATTTGTTAGTTTTTAACTAGAAAGTGACACTGAAACTTCTTTGTATGTTTATTTGACATCAAATAAAGAATTGGTTTTTTTTTCCTTTTTTAAAGATTTATTTATGTGTATTGGTGGTTTGTCTGCATGTATGTATATTCCCCACATATGCCTGGTACCTGTGGAGGCCAGAAGAGGGTGCTGTATTCCCTGGAACTGGATTTCCATATGGTTATGCTATGTGGATGCTAGGAACTTGTTGCTGGCTCTGCAGCTGGGATCTCACTGTCTCTGATCCTGGGGTCAGGGGGTGGGCAGACACAGAACCAAGGGCACAGGCTCTGGGAGGTTGCAGGCAATCTCATTTATTAAATGAAGGATTGAGGTATTTATCTGTGTACTTTTTGGCAGGCTCTACTTCTCACTGCTGTGGTGTTTCCTCGTTGGCTCTGGGTCTTATGTCAGCAGTTGTCATCTTGAGGGTCTGGTTTCAGGGTCCCATGGGTCAGGATACTACTGTGCATGTCAGAGCTCTTTGTTTGCTTAAGGTATGGCCCATTGCTTTTGGCCTTACCCACCTCATATTACCCTTTTTATTTTATTTTGTGGCCATTAGTGGGAGTTAGAGTCCTTTGCTCTAATCTTGTTGTCCCCACCTCAGGGGTCCCCCAACATTGTGACTGTGCCTGTCCTAGGTTGGCCTGCCTGACAGGCTCTTACCCGTCTCTGACAACCAGCCCTCGGAAAGTGGTTCCCCTGGAAAGCACCTAGGTTGCAAGAGCATTAGACAGAGGCATCAGACAGCGGCAACCCGAATTTCTGTGAGATAGGCTCTTATTACTTCCTGAGGGGGGTGATGATCAGGGTGTTCCAGAGCCATTAGCAGTTGCAGGTCATTTTTTTTTGATGCAGTGCTGCCAGGAAACATGCTGTAGGAAACACTTAAGCTACAAAATTATTATGAGTATCGTGTCCCCTATCATTTCCCCATGCTATAGTTATTGAAGGGTCTAGAATTGATTTTATGTGATCCCAAATTTGAGCAAAGAATGTTGTAGACACCTCCAGTGGTTTCACATGTGTGGAGTTCAAGTTTAAGATTTCATTAGAGAATTGTACTGAAAGGTTTAAGAACTCTTTGCTCCACAATCCCAATATAATTTCCCTTAATTTACTCCTGGCTTGTGTCATATTTGAGACTGAGTAAGGGGTTAAACAAAAGGAGAAAAATTGGGGATCACAGTTTCCTCTTACCAGCCATCTTAATGTCTGGATTTCTTCATCCAATAAATCTAGTTGTTGCTGTAAATAGAGTATAGCTGACTGGAAATGGGAATTAATCAGTTGTTGAGTGCTTAAGGTTCAGGCTGATTCTTCTATGGCCATATTAAGTGTAGAGGCAGTGACTCCCATTTGAACCAGGGAGGCTATGTACCATTTGCCACAGCAAGCAGAATAATGGCCATTGTGGCTGCTGTTATTCCAAAGTCTCTTTTTATTCTGGTTTGTTTCAATTCCATTCTATGATAGTGTGTCACATTATTTAGTGGTATCCAAATGAAAAGAGGAATACATACCAACACTGTGTGAAGGGCCTCATTTGCATTCCAGCAGGCACTTAGCCAGCATATTGTCTTGGTGCAATTCAGCTCAGGCTGTGAAGAATTGGTTAATATAAAGAAAAAAGGGAGTCTTTACACAGATGGGGGTGCCCTTGTAGATAAAATCCTTTTGTTGTTAAATGGAAATGGAGGACTCAAATGGTTCATTAGCAGTAAAGGGTTCATTAAAATAACCTCCTCCCCTTAAAAATAGGAATGCTCTCATATCTAAGCAAGTGATGGGTCCACATAGTGGCCAATTGCCAAACATAGGCTTAATAGTCAATGCTAGAGAGCAGTAGGAGAAATGAAAGAGGCCCAGTAACAATTTCTCTTCAACTAACTTTCTCAATTCTGGTAGTTTGGGTTCTATAATAGGCCATTGATCTGTCTACACAGGCTTCTGTGATGTCCAATTTAATGGTATGGGCCTTGCAATATTTATATCTGTGTGGGGTTGGGGGGAGCAGTGGCCCTTAGAATTGGGGGTGAAGGCTAGAATTTCTACCAGATTGACCTGTCATGCCACGTGTTACTATATCCTCATAAAAGGACTTATTGTCTTTAAATGCAATTTCAGAGACCTGCTGAAAATAGTCATGCAGGCCAGTTTGGGCTTGAGTCACGGGATCAAAACATTGGCCCCAGCCGGTCAGCATGTCTAGAGAAATAGCAATATTGTATTGAATATTTAGGTGTGTCTGCTCTTCAGCTTGGTCATTATAGGCCACCCACCAATTAAGAAAAGCAGCTGGTTCAAGTACTGCTTTCATTAAATGGTAACAATCATAATAGGTTTGTAAATACACTGCCCATTGCTGCAGCACTTGCTCAAAATATGGGGAGTCAGGGCCTGACTCATTGGTGCCTAATGGATAAAGGAAAGATTGGCTAGAGGGGTAGGAACCTATGGCTGAGCAGCTGCATTGGCCCCAACACTAACTGGAAATGCAAAAGGATTGTTTGGGTGATAACCAGAGAATTTAAACTGAGAAGTGTCATGCTTGGTGGTTTCAGTTATCCCTGAAGGGCAATGGGGAGCAGAAGGTGGAGAAGTATCCACTAAGTCCCCTCAGGGATAAACAGTACATCGTAGTTCATCATGCTTAAGGATGGATTTCCTGTGTATTTACTTGGAGGGGGGTGGGTCTGACTGTGCTGTGTTCTCTTCCCCATCTGAGATATGGCCCTTGTAAGGCAGTGGGGAGGTCAGGGAGCATGAGGAGGATTTTTGTTCCTCACAATTGTCACTAAAGAACTGGAGGTCTTCCTCTGTAGAACCTGATTTTGCACAAACTATGATTCCCAAAAGTATTGTTACAAAGACTGTGTGGGGTGTTTTTCCTTCCTGTACTTCCCATTTCCTAGTTAAAAAGAGGACTTGCAGCCATACTGATGGATTCCAGATGTTTTCAGGCCATATCCAAGGTGCAATAACAGAAGCCTCATCCCAAAACTTTTCCAGATGGAAAAGTTTTAACTCTTATTTCCCTGGTCTGAAGTAAGGATTTAAGAGCTCTGAGCTGGGGGTCTCTGGCAGCAGAAGGAAAGTTCCCATAGCAAGAGAAACAGAATCAAGGGCAAACAAACTAAAAGAGTCTACTAGTAATCTACTGAGCAAATATTCCCAACCCTTTGTGGGAGGTGTTTGGATTTACAGCCCCTATAAAAACAAAAGCCTGGCCGTGAGTTTCAGAAGCCGGGCAGGTCAATAGTTAACAGCGTGTGCTCTAAAGACAAAACAGACAGGGAAAGGAATGAAAAGATAGGGAGAGAGAGAGAGACAGGCACCCCAATACTCACCACTTGCGGGGTGGGGGAGCAGAAAACTGAGAAGAGGGGTCTACTTATCAAAAAACAGCCAAAGGGGGCATATCACAACACCGAGTTGCAATAGGAATCAGGACAGCAAGCCAGCTAGCAATAGAGGAAAAAAGAACTACCCAAAGTGCAAGTCCCAGGTGGGGCTTCATCCATGATGGGCACCACAATGTTGCTGGCTCTGCAGCTGGGATCCCGCTGTCTCTGATCCCGGGACCAAGGGGTGGGCAGATGCAGAACCACTGGCACAGCCTCTGGGAGGTTGCAGGAACTGAACTTGGGTTTTCTGCAAGAACAGCAAGTGCTCTTAATTGCTTGAACTATCTCTCTATCCCCCAAATAAATCGATTCTTCGCTGAAGTGTCTATGCATGTCTTTTCTCCATTTTCCAGTTGCACTGTTTCTATTTTGCTGTTCCAGTTTGAGAATCCTGTAGGTAGAGTTTTCCTGCCTGGCCCACAGTCAGGACAAATCTCTATCACCTGCCAGTCCCACAGCCTCTCAGACCCGACCAAGTAAACACAGAGACTTATATTGGTTACAAACTGTATGGCCGTGGCAGGCTTCTTGCTAACTGTTCTTACAGCTTAAATTAATCCATTTCTATAAATCTATACCTTGCCACATGGCTCGTGGCTTACCGGCATCTTCACATGCTGTTTGTGATCATGGCGGCTGGCAGTGTCTCTCTGACTCAGCCTTCCACTTCCCAGCTTTATTCTCCTCCTTGTCCCGCCTACACTTCCTGCCTAGCCAATGGCCAATCAGTGTTTTATTTATTGACTAATTAGCAACAAATTTGCCATACAGAACATCCCACAGCACTTCCCCCATTTTTTTTTCAAAAAGGAAGGTTTTAATCTTAACAAAATAAAATTACATATAATTTGGGAATTTGGGCGTAGCTTCTCTTACTACTTCCTGCTGGAGGGGGACGCTGTATCTTATGGGGACACAAAGAAAATTTTAGGATCATAGAATAGTCCATGAGGCTGTATTGTCTGAGCCAGATGCCTTCAAACCATTCTGGATGTTGGATCATCTGGGCCATGGAGTCATCGGAGACCTTTCAGGGGGTCTTGGCTGGTCAAACCTGATGTATCTTAATCTGGAACAAATCCATAGCCTTTGGCTTTCTGTGGGAACAAAAGAGACTCTTTTCCAAAGCAACATATCCTTATATTCAAATTTTGAAGTCATGGTATCTTTAAAATATACATATTGGTTTAACTCAACATCTTTTACTATCAAATGTTTTTCTGCAGTTAAAAATCCCAAAGACAACACAATCCAGATTCTCTGTGTAATATTCATCTTCACGTGGCTTATTTTTTATATTAATTTTACTGTCTCTTTAAAGACTTAATTTTTTAAAACTATGTATTTCTTTATATAACTGTATATATCACCTTTTTTTGTCTCTTTCAAGCCTACGTATATTTTACACACATTGTAAACATCTGAATCTGTCTTATTGTGAATCTATTGCTTTAAGCTGCAGCAGCTGTGGCTGCTGGCTCCGCCCACCTCAGCTTCCCAACATGGCTACCTTTACCACCAGCTCTGGGAGCTATCCTGGGTCTATGCTCTTATCCAAGCAGCGTGTAGCCCAGAAACCTCTTTTTTTTTTTTTTTTGTACTAGCGAAGTCTAAATCCACCATGCAGCTTAATGTGCCACTTGCAGAGGCCTCATTCCCGCCATACTGCAGGTGGAGCACACACACTGGGAACCCACAAGTAGCTCAAACCGGCAGCTGCCGCTCATTTGAGAGAGATAATTAGGAACTGTTTTTAGCTCAGTTTTAGAATCTTTTTTCTCAATTTTTAGGTGGAAACTCTTGCCCCATGTTGGGCGCCATTTGTAGGTAGAGTTTTCCTGCCTGGCCCACAGTCAGGACAAATCTCTATCACCTGCCAGTCCCACAGCCTCTCAGACCCGACCAAGTAAACACAGAGACTTATATTGGTTACAAACTGTATGGCCGTGGCAGGCTTCTTGCTAACTGTTCTTACAGCTTAAATTAATCCATTTCTATAAATCTATACCTTGCCACATGGCTCATGGCTTACCGGCATCTTCACATGCTGTTTCTCATCATGGCGGCTGGCAGTGTCTCTCTGACTCAGCCTTCCACTTCCCAGCTTTATTCTCCTCCTTGTCCCGCCTACACTTCCTGCCTAGCCAATGGCCAATCAGTGTTTTATTTATTGACTAATTAGCAACACATTTGCCATACAGAACATCCCACAGCAGAATCCCTTGTATAACTCTGGACGATAATGAACTAACCCTCTGAAACTGTAAGTAAACTCCCAATTCAATGCTTTCTTTTCTAAGAGTTGCCTTGGTCATGGTGTCTCTTTACAGCAAGAGAACAGTGACTAAGAGACATTATAAGGCACATATGATGAAGAAAGCCGACAGATGGAAACAATTAGGCTAGCCTGGAAGATATGCAATGGATCTTCTTGTCATTTTTACACTGCCTGCCTCAAGTGTCTCAGTGTCTATGGACTTTGCAGGCAGAAGGAACAGTGGTAGAAAAGACCACGGTTGGAGCTTTCCTTGAGTGTCCAAGAAAGTGAGGAGAGTTGGCAATGCATGATGGGAGTGAACCAGAGTGAGCAAAGTAAGCAGTGAGGGCTGATGGAGAAGCAGGTCTCTGGGGCTTGTGGGTCCCCCGAGAACCTGGGTGTGTGTGAGCTGCTGGGGTTTCTGAAGAGCTGTGACATGCTCTGACACCATTTTCCCAGGATGCTTTGCCTGCTCGGTGGAAAATTACCAGTAGAAATTTAGTTAACCGGGGTCCATCTAGAAAGTGAGAAACACATTTGAGCGTGGAAAGCATAATACACAGCCCTACTGTGCCTCACACAGTCTGTAATGGGCCCCTCTTGTGACCTGCTCCAAGTTTAAAATTTTTTAAATAGTACTTTTTGATACTAGCAATATTCTGAGCAAGCAGGTCTATTGCCATGCAGCCTGATGGTGCTGTGTGAGCCGCCTTATATATCTCATTTGATTAGGGCATGCTGACACCAGTGATAGATGGGAAAGACTGGTACTTACCCCTCTGAAAATTAGATACACCAAGAAAGGTATCCTGCGGGGACACCCACCCAGGCTTCCAGTTTAGAAAAAAAAAAGGCACTCTATTGTGCTGAGTGTTCCTTGCTTTCACGTGGTCTGCTGTTGTGAGCACACTATGCCACAAGCACAGATGAACATGGTCCTGTCTTTCTACAATGTCAGACTTAGTAGACTGAGAATAAGTTCACAAGGTTCATCAGTTTCAATGGCAGCATTTTGACTACTTTAGTAATCAAACCAAGGCACGTTTAGACTTTTTATTCTAATCTTTATTGCTAATAATAGCTCTCCTATCACAGAGCACACAGGATGTTTGTCTGTGTGTTCATATATGCCATTTTCAGAACAAATACAAGCTAGAGAGTATAGCAGAGTTCAAGAGGTTTCAGAAGTGGGCTGAGGGGCTGGAGAGATGCTCAGAGGTTAAGAGCCCTGGCTGCTCTTGCAGAGGACCGAGTTTAATTCCCAGCACCCACATGGCAGCTCACAATTGTCTGTAATTCCAGTCCCAGGGTATTTAATGCTGTCTTCTGGCTTCCATAGGTACCAGGGATGCACTTGTACACGGACATACATGCAATACCCATACACGTAAGATAAATTAGTGATGATGACAATGACGATGACGACGACAATGATGATGATAAAGGTAAAACATTTTTAAAAGAAGGGGGCTGAGAGAAATGCAAGTAGAGTCTGTGTTGATAAGATAATGAGCCCACGCAAGCAGCAGGAAAGAGGCTAATGCTGTAGAGGTCAGGCCAACAGAGAGTCAGGGTCTGAGGAAGAAAATGTAATCAGCTGCAGAGATGAGAGAGGTCAGAGCAGGAAATTGTAGGTTTGGATCCAGGGAGATCCCATAATCCCTTCCTAACCCTCTCTTTTCTCCTCCCCATTTGATCCTCCCATTCCTCTTTCTCCATCCATCCATCCATCCATAGCTATTGATCCTATTTGTCCTTCTTAGGGAGACTCATCCCTCCCCTCTAATCCTTTACTCTGTATCTAACCTCTGTGCTTTAAATAGATTGTAGCTTGCTTATTGAAGACTTAACAAGGAATATCCAAAAAAGCAAATATGTACCATATTTGTCTTTCTGGGCCTGGGTTACCTCATTCAGGATGATTTTTTTTGAGACAGGGTTTCTATGTGTGACAACCCTAGCTGTCCTGTAACTAACTCTTTAGATCAAACTGACCTTGAACTCACAGAGATCTGCCTGCCTCTGCCTCCTGAGTGCTGGGATTAAAGGTATGCACCACTGCCTGGCCAGGAAGATTTTTTTCTAGCTCTATCCATTTACTTGCAAATTTCATGATTAAAATTTTTAATGGCTGAATAATATTCCATTATGTAAATGTACATTTTCTTTATCCATTTACTGGTTGACAAACATCTAGGCTGTTTCTAATTTCTGGCTATTATGGGTTAAGCAGCAATGAACATGCATGTTGAAGTATCTCTGTGGTAGGATGTAGAGTCCTTTGGGTATATGCCCAAGAGTGGTATAGCTGGATCTCGTGGGAGATCTATTACCAGCTTCCTGAGGAACCACCACATTGATTTCCATAGTGGCTTTACAAGTTTATACTTACCAACAATGGATGATTGTTTCTCTTATTCCACATCCTCACTGACATGAGCTGTCTTGTTTTATTGGTATTAGACATTCTGACTGGTGTAAGATGGAATCTCAAAGCAGTTTTGATTTGCTTTTCCCTGATGACTAGAGATGTTGAATTTTCTTTAAGTACTTCTGAGTTATTTGTGTTTCCTTGTTTGATTAGATCTGTACCCTATTTTTTAATTGGGTTATTAGTTTTCTTGATGCCTTTTTTTGTTATTTCTATATTTTGGATATTAGCCCTCTATTGGGTGTGTAGTTGGTAAAAATATTTTCCCATTCTATAGCATGCTCCTTTGTCCAAATAACAGTGTCCTTTGCAATGCAGAAGCCTTTCAGTTTCATGAAGTCTCCTTTATTAACTATTCTTAGAACCTGTACTAACAGTGTTCTGTTCAAAAGGTCTTTTCATGTGCCAATGAGTTCAAGACTACCCCCACTTTTTCTTTAGTCAGATTCAGTGTATCTGGTCTTATGTCGATGTCTTTGATCCACTTGGAGTTGAGTTTTGTACAGGGTGATAGTTGTGAATCTATAATCATTCTACCTGCTGCCACCCAGTTTAAGCATTGCCATTTGTTGAAGATGCTGTCCTTTTTTCAGTGTGTATTTCTGTTTTTTTAAATAAAAATCAGGTGTCCATAGGTGTATAGATTTATGTGTGAATCTTCAATTTTATTCCATTGATCAACATGTCTATTTTTGTGCCAATATCATGCTGTCTTTATTACTATATCTCTGCAGTACAATTTGAGACTGAGAATGGGGAAAACTCCTGCCATTCTTTTATCATTAAGGAATGTTTTAGCTATCCTGAGTTTTGTTTGTTTGTTTGTTTCCATATGAAACTGGAAATTGTTCTTTCAAGATCTGAGAAGAATTGTGTTGGAATTTTGATGGGGATTTCATTGAATTGGTAGATTGTTTAGGAAAGAACGGTCTTTTTTTTTTTTTGATGTATTAATCCTACTGTCAATGAGTATGTGAGATCTTTTCATCTTTCGGTCTCTTCTTCAATTTCTTTCTTCAGATAATTAAAGTTTTTATTATACAAGTCTTTGACTTGCTTGGTAGAGTTACCCCCAAGATATTTTATATTATTTGAGGCTATTGCAAGAAGTACTATTTCCCTGATTTCTTTCTCAGTCCTTTTGTTATTTTTACTGATTTTTGTGAGTTCATTTTGTATCCAGGTACTTTACTGAAAGTGTTTAACAGGTGTTGGAGTTTCCTGGTGGAATTTTTAGGGTCACTTATGTATACAATTGTATCATGTGCAAATAAAGACACATGGACTTCTTTCTTTCTAACTTGTATCCCTTGATCTCCTACAGTTGTCTTAATGCTCTCACTAAGATTTAAAGTATTATAAGGAATAGATATGGCCAGAGTGGACAACCTTGTTTTGTTCCTGATCTTAGTGTAAATGATTTCAGGTTCTTTGCATTTAGGTTGGTGTTGACTATGGGGGCTTGCTTAAATTACCTCTATTATCTTAAGGTGTATCCTTTGTATCCCTAGTCTCTACAGGAATTTTATCATGAAGGAATGTTGGACTTTGTCAAAACCCTTTTCTGTATCTAATGAGATGATCATATGGTTTTATCTTTCAGTTTGTATATACGGTGGATTACATTTATCAATGTACACATGGTGAACCATTCTTGCATTCTGGGATAAAGTCTACTTGATCATGGTGGATAATCTTTTTGAAGTTTCTTGTATTTGGTTTACAAAAGTATTTTATTGAGAATTTTTGCATCTATGTTAATAAGGGAAATTGGTATGTATTTCTCTTTCTTTGTTGAGTCTTTATGTGTGGTGATATTGTGTTCCCCAAAATATTGTGTACCCTAATAAATTTATCTGGGGTTAGAGAACAGAACAGCCACTAGATATAGAGCCCAGAAAATGGTGGCACACACGCCTTTAATCCTAGCATTCCAGAGGCAGAAATCTGTCTGGATCTCTGTGAGTTCAAGGCCACACTAGAAACAGCCAGGCATGATGACTCATGCCTTTAATCCCAGGAAGTGAACCTTTAATCCCAGGAAGTGATGGCAGAAAGCAGAAAGGTATATAAGGCATGAGGACCAGGAACTAGAGCTGGTTAAGCTTTTAAGCTTTTGAGCAGCAGTTCAGCTGAGATTCATTCTGGATAAGGACTCAGAGGCTTCCAGTCTGAGGAAACAAGACCAGCTAATGGATTGGCAAGGTGAGGTTAGCAGTGGCTTGTTCTGCTTCTCTGATCTTTCAGAGTTCACCCCAATACCTGGCTTCAGGTTTGATTTTGTTAATAAGAAGTTTTAAGATTCGTGCTACATCTATGTGGTTTGGGTATTAGGGTAACTGTGACCTCATAAAATGAATCCAACAATGTTCCTTCTGTTTCTATTTTGTGCAATAATTTGAGGAGGAGTTTTGGCATTAATTCTTCTTTAAAAGTCTGATAGAATTCTGCACTAAAACCATCTAAAGCCATCTAGCCCTGTGGTTTTTTTGCTTGGGAGACTTTTAATGACTGCTTCTATTTCATTAGGGTTTATAGGTTTGTTTAAATTGTTTATCTGATCTTGATTTAACTTTGGTGGGTGGTATATATCAAGAAAATAATCCATTTCTCTTAGCTTTTTCAACTTAGTAGATTATAGGTTTTTAAAGTATGTCCTTTTGATTCTCTATATTTCCTTGGTGGTTATTTTTTGCTATGTCCCCTCTTCATTTATAATTTTCTTAATTTGGATATACTCTCTCTGTCTTTTAGTCAATTTAGATAAGGATTTGTCAATCTTACTGATTTTTCTCAAAGAACCAACTCTTTTTTTTTTTAATCAGTTCTTTGTACTGTTCTCTTTGCTTCCAGTTTATTGATTTCAGTCCTCAGTTTGACTATTTCTTGATGTCTACTTCTCTTGGGTGTGTTTCCTTCTTTTTGTTCTAGAGCTTCAAGCAGGCTGTTAAGTTGATAGTATGATATCTCTGCATTTTTTAATGTAGGCACTTAGTGCTATGAACTTTCCTCTTAGTACCACTTTCATTGTGTCCCATAAGTTTCAGTATGCTGTGTATTCATTTTTATTGTTCTAGACAGTCTTTAATTTCTTTCTTCATTTCTATCCTGACACACTTTTTATTCAGTAGAGAGCTGTTCAGTTTCCATGAGTTTGTAGGCTTTCTGTTAGATATCCAGCTAATTTGTCATGGTCTGATAGGATACAGGAAGTTATTTCAAATTTCTTGTATCTGTTGAGACTTGATTTGTGTCCAAGTATGTGGTCAGTTTTTGAGATAGCTCCATGAGATGCTGAGAAGGTACATTGGTTTGGTTTATGTGAAATGTTCTGTAAACATTTGTTAGGTCCATTTGGTTTACAACCTATTAGCAGTCTCTTAGCTCCAGTATTTCTCTGTTTAGTTTTTGTCTGCATGACTGGTCTGTGGATAGAGTGGGGTATTGAAGTCTCCCACTCTCAGTGTGTGTCAATATGTGATTTAAGCTGTAGTAGTGTTTCTTTTATAAAACATGGTGCCCTTGTGTTTGATGTAGAGACGTTAAGAATTGAAATGTCATCCTGGTGGATTTTCCCTTTGATGAGTATGTAGTTTCCTTCTCTATCTCTTTTGATTAATTTTGGTTTGAAGTCTATTTTGTTAGATATTAAAATAGCCACACCAGCTTTCTTCTTAAGTCCATTTGCTTGAAATATCTTCTTCCAACCTTTTACTCTGAGATAATGTGTACCCTTGATGTTGAGGTGTGTTTCTTGTATGCATCAGAAGAATAGATCACGTTTTAGCATCTATTCTGTTAGTCTGTATCTTTTTATTGGGGAATTGAGATCATTGGTATTGAGAGATATCAATGAGCAGTGTTTGTTGATTCCCATTTTTTAAATTTTTGTGGTGTGGAGTTTTGTCCCTCCTCTTTTGATTTGTTGCTCTGAGATTATTTATTCCTTGTGTTTTCTTGGGTAGGGTTAACCTTTCAAAGTTGAAAATTTCCTTCTAGTGCCTTCTGTAGAGCTAAATTCTGAGGTTCCTATTCGAGTTCCTAAACTTTTCATTTTCAGTTTTTCTTCAGTTTGGGTTTTCTTTATTGATTCTATTTCTACTTTCATGTCTTGGACTGTTTTCTTCATTTCATTTCACAGTTTTGCGTTTTCATTTATTTCATTAATGGATTCATTCGTTTCCTCTGTAAGGACCTTGAACACATTCATTATAGTTATTTGAAGTCCTTGTCTTGTGTTTCAGCTGTATTGCATTTCTCAGGCCCTACCTTAGTAGAGTTGATGGGCTCTAGTGGAGACATATTTTCTTCACTGTTATTGTGTTTTTATGTTGGCATCTAGGTATCTGTGTTCGGGAAAATTGTAATTCTAGGTGCCGATACCCTTCTTGTCGTTGTTGGCTGGGTGTTCCATCCCGTGGTTTCTGTTGCCCTCTCTGGTTCTTGGAGAGTTGTGCCTGAGGTTTGCCTGGTATGCAATGCTTCTGAGATCCTGTCAGATGTGGCCACTGGGGGTCCCTGGATAGATCTGACACTTAGGGATGGAGATGGGCTAGAGGCGCAGTGCAAAAGGATCCATAGGAGAGAGGAAAGCCAGGTTCCCCCCCTAGGAGCTGACACCATGCATTCCCAGCTGAAGGCTCCCAAGCAATCGGCATTCCTGTGTCTTCATTGTCTAGGGCATGGAGTCTGGGGGGCGGGGCAGGCCTTTCATTGTCCAAGGAATGGAGACAGGACCTAGATAGAGACTGTCTCCACATAGGACCACTCATGGCGGCCCATAACCTGGGCGCGAAAGTCCTATAGTCTTAGGGAGACAGGAGCAATGAGGCCAAGGGCCTCGACCTCAGGGTATTGGTGCATCAGCCCCACACAGGCCTCTACTCTGTTCTAGAGCCTCACTTGAATGTCCAACAATTAGCCCTTACCCAGCCCCCCTTCTGGCCACACCCACGCTTTGTGTCAGTCTCTCAGGAAATGACCAAAATGAGGCTTTAAGCTTATAACTTGATTGGCCTGTACCTTTATCAGTTTTTTGGCTGATAAAGTTTGTATCACATGGCCACCACACAATCAACTGTAACCTGACTTACTGTGTAACCAGGAGTTTAATATTGCAGTATAAAATTATCAAAGTAGCCATTCATCCAAACAATCACAGCAATGATGCTTCAACCAATCACATGCTACCAGTGGATCACATGATGCCTGGGACCTGTTGCCTGCATCCAATCAGGCAGTTTCAGAATGGTTTGCAGCTCTTTGGCAGTTTAACTGCCGGGTCTGCAGTGCTGCCGCAGGGCCTTGTTCATGTAATTGTTGTGTGCTTTCCTGTAAGGATCCTCACTCAGGCACAAGCAGAGAACCTGTCTGTGTCCTCCAAGGCTTTTGTGGGGAACTCAGAGGTGACTGGGTTGCTGGACCTTGAATGGGAAGCTGAATTGCCTGGCAATATAGAAGCCACAGCATCTGGGACCACTGACCTCACGCTCAGAGTCACATTGCTGAGTGTAGCCAGGCCTGAGAGCCTTGCAGCATCTGGCATTGGGAAGATGGTGACAGCAGAGTTCAACACAAGGGAGGGGTGGAGGGGGCTGTGGGGACCAGAAAGTGGAGGAGGTTGCTAGGGGAGTGCAGGAGCAATGCCCTGAAGGGGCAGGGAAAGCCAAAGGGTCCCTGCCAACTCAGGCTCTACACTGCCCCCTGTGGGCTCCTGGAAAGGTGCAGGCCTCCACATTGCAGCTTAAATAGACACCACATCCAGGCTTCTGGCTCACCCTTTCCATAGCGAGTAACATTTGATTACTCTCTGATTCCACTGTCCATGTCACCCTCTCTCTACTCCAGACACTTGTTCTCTCTTGAGAGGAGCACACAAGAGGTTGGCTTCCATGGTCCTCTGCCGTATTTTCAGCTTTCCCATGAGGTGAGTCCACAACTATCGGCACTTCCCTATCTTTCAGTGCCATATTCAATAAATTACAACACGGAGCACTTAATTATAAATTAGGTTTTGTGTGGCATGGCTTTGTCTAAGTGCAATTCATTTAAGTCTTCTGGACACATGCTGGGCAGGGCTGAGCTGTGATGCTCAATAGGTCTGTTCATTCCATTTTGAAATAAGAAAATTTATACCTTGAGGGCTTTTGGCATGTGACCCCCTCTTGAGTTGAGGAGCATCTGTATATGGTTTTCAGTATTTCAAAGAAACAATCTGGGGGGAGGGGGTGACTGTAGAGCCCGGGTTTCTCTCCTTCCCTACCTTCTCCTCCACCTCTCCTCACGCATATCTCAAAGGAGTCTTTGCAGTGGGTCTCTCAGTTCAATAACAATTTTGCTCACTTTATTGTTGACAGTCTGGCTACCTAAAGGTTATCTTCATGTCTTAATTTGGAAAACACTTAAACCAAAATGAGAATGTATTTCTGATTTAGTAATTAACCAGAATTTAAACAATGGGTGGATATCAAGGAATCATGTAGATGTAAGTCCACTATAGCGCTAACTATGGCTGAGCTATAGGCCAGTGTCAGCTTGAAAAACACTCCCACATAACTCGCCCTTGTTTGAGTGCAGCTGTCTGGTAGATATCACACTGCAGGATATCTGACAAGTCCTCTGCATTGTGTTCTAACAAAACCAGGAGACAACGTCTCATTAAGCCAAGAAGCAAGTGTGCCGTGTCCTGCTGGGACACAGAAAGGTGAAGTCAGCATAGCCAGATGTACTCACTATGGAGTCAAGGAAAGTGAAGTGGCCCAGATTCTATACCATTCCTCTTTCTATGTGAAGTGTAGAACTCTACAGAATGAAACAGTGCATTCTTTACAGATACATCTATGTGGAGAAAAACAAAAATAAAAGTAATGATAGACATTGGGGAGGATCCATACCATCACCAAAACTAGGGATAATGCTCATCCTTTTGGCATATTGTGTGCCTATGTTTCATCTTATATTTTCTGGGTCTTTTCCATAACATGAAATATTTTGAATGCTTTGTACAAAGTCACAGTGCAGATCCCAGAAACCCAGAACCGATTGAGAAACTCCTCAGAAGGGATTTCCTTTACTCTTTATTAATTATAAAACTCGAGGACAAATATAAGAACCTGAGATGGTTACCACAGCCATAATGCACCTACCGCTGTTCACCTTCTGGCTCCTGAAGGACCACACAACCTTCAGGCCCTGCCTACTTCCCCAGGGCCACTCTTTTTCTCTTCTTGGGTTTGCCAAGGAGTTATTAATCCATTCCAGCCAGCTGAATGTGAACTCCATCACTTGCACCAAATGCTCTATTTAATTAGATAATGAACCAGGGCATAAACAGAATTCTTGTAACATTTCCCCTTTAATTTTCTAATGAAAAAGGAAAGGTTCTAACTCTAACACAGTAAAACACTATAAACAGTAAAAAAAAAATCAAGTATTTCCAAAATAGAAAGGAAAGGTAATAACCTTAACAAAATTGAAACTACTTACAAGATCAATTATCAAGTGAGAAATACATTCTCAATGTCCAGTCCATATGTAATTGGCAAATTTAGAAAGATTACTCCATTAGCTGTCCTCTCCTGCAGAGTCCATAGTTTTGTACCTAATTTACCTTTTACCATGATTCGGGAGTACTGTAACAGTAACTGTCTAGTCTTCAATTCCATCAAAGACCTGAGAGGGATATAAGATTACATGAGTAAGCAGGAAGTCCATAGCAAGCAACTTCTGAAACTAAGAGTAATGATAGAAACTGCTGACTCCCTGGACAGTCATCCAAAGTTCCTCTGCAGTGTTGGGGCATCCATCTTTGGCCTACAGGCCTAGAATATCTGACAGACTTTTCTGAAGCAGGAAATTGTGAAGGACTGTCCTACCCTGTCTTTCAAAGTTTGGCAGTCACTTTTTTTGTGTGACCTGCTAGTCCAGTTTGGACAGCATACTGTCAGCTATCTAACCTCCTTTGAATAATGTCTTCTTGACCATGAGCAGTAACAACTTGCAAACAGCTACCCTGAACGAAGACATACATCTATAATCCATTGAATGGCCAAAAACCATCCACCTCACTTCTTGGGAATGTAGGCATCATGGTTTCTACATCGTTTCCTGTAGATGTAACAGTCTTATTAAATAAGAAACACGGAGCCAAATGCAGAGTGAAAAGCCCAAGAGGTCAGAGCAGTAGCTAAGAGCTGATACTAAAAACCCTTTCTTACCCTTCACTGCCACTGCTGTCCTTCCTCTCCAAAAGAGACCTACTTCTTGTGTATCTGTCTTTTTATTGACTTTCTCTTCTGCCTTCTCATTGGTTGTAAACCCAACCACATGACCTCCTTGTCACTACCTGTCTATACAGACCTCTAGGTCTCTATGGTTGCTATTGCGATTAAAGGGATTAAAAGCGTGTGTCTCCATCCTGGCTGTATCCTTGAACACACAGAGATCTGCCTGTCATGTGATTGGGATTAAAGGTGTATACCACTATGGTGATATTTTAGTTGTATTAAAATGTTATTTGTATGTTAATAAATAAAGTTGCCCAGGGGTCAGAGCTATTAGCAAGCCATAGGAAAGCAGGGCAGTGGTAGCGTACGCTTGTAATTCCAGCACTTAGTAGGCAGAGCTGGGTAAGTCTCTGTGTGTTCAGGGATACAGCCATTATTGGATACACATGCCTTTAATCTTAATACCAATCATGGAAAACCTGGAGGCCTATACAGACAGGCTGTGAGGAGGCGGTCATGTGGTTGGGTTTACAACCAATGAGAAGGCAGGACAGGAACTCTATATAAAGACTTTAACACAGGGGTAGCTCTGGTTCGGAGAGGTAGGACCACTGCAGGAGGAAGGGTAAGGTTTTGGCTCTTGGCTCTGACCTCTTGGCTTTCTTCTTTGCATTGGTTCTGTGTTTATTGTTTGATGGGAAGGTTGGATACATCTACATTTGGCGCCCAACGTGACAAGAATTCATTAAAAACCGATTGGCTTGGCTTGGCGGCAGGTCCGGTTTCCAGCCTGGGCGGCCCGGCTGCCTAGCTTGGGCCCAGGCCTGACTGACCCGCAGCTGGAACTGCTACAAACAACTCAGACCTGCCCCGCTGAACAGGGCCCCTGCCTGTAAAGCCAAGGCTTGACTCGGCTCAAGCGGCTACACTTTCTCTCTCTCTCTCTCTCTCTCTCTCTCTCTCTCTCTCTCTCTCTCTCTGGATTCACACCTCGAACACCAGGTGCCTGTGAAATTCCCTGGGATTCTACTGTTCTACCCAGACTTGGTAAGTCAATTAACATATCTATTTAAAAGAGAATTTTTTTCTACATTAAAAAAAAAAAATGGGCTTTATGTGTACATTGGAAGAAAATTGGGCTTTGTTTGAAATTTTAGGCACTCTGACAATGGAACAACTATATGAAAAGATTAATATTGATCGAATTATTCAGTTTATTACTTTTCTTATCCTCATTTTACTATTTAAAAAGATCGTCAACTTAAGTGCCAGGATAACAGTCTTAGAAAAACTTGTTAAACCGGTAAAAATGAATTATAGAGAAATTCAAATTCAGACAGAAGAAATAAATAGTGAAGTTGTTTCAAAATTGGATCGTAAGGTTACAGAAAGAAAGCCAGTTTTCACACAATCACCCTTAATTTATCCAGTAGCCGTACAGCAGCTACCTGATGAAGAGAATGAACAAAATACTTGGGTTCCAGTTGAAATGTTAGACTTACGAAGATTTAAGGAGGCAATAGCATCTTATGGCATGCACTCCCCATATGTAAAGCAAATGTTAAACACCTGGTCAACTTGTAATAGGATTATACCAAAGGACTGGCGGGAATTGGCACAGGCTGTTCTTGAACCCGGACAAAATCTCCAGTGGAAAATGTGGTTCAGTAATGAGGCTAAAAATATAGAAAGACAATGGAGGGATAGCGGAATACAAGTCTGCCAGGATCAGCTTATTGGCGAAGGCCAATATGCTTCAGTACAAACACAATGTTCATATGATGTCCAAACCCTACTTCTATGTAAAACGGCAGCTTTGAATGCATGGGACAGAGTTGAAGAACCAGGAAAAAAAACTGAGTCATTTACAAAGGTTATACAGGGCCCCAAAGAATCTTTCACAGACTTCTTACAAAGATTGACTTCAGCAGTCCAAAAAATGGTCCCGAATTCAGAGGCTAGTCAGATAATAATTGAATCTTTAGCCTTTGAGAATGCAAATGCAGCGTGCAAAAGAATAATTAGGCCGTTAAAGGCAAGATCTGCACCTTTGGAAGATTGGATTAGAGATACAGTTAATGTAGAGGCTTATGACCATGATGATATGTGGGTAGGAAAAGCAATTTCAAAAGGTTTGAGCAATGTTAGATGTTTTGGATGTGGAAAGCAAGGACATTTGAAAAGGGATTGTAAACAGGTCATTCCTAGAAATAATGTTTATTCAAGGAACACTGGCAACAGAATGCCCCTTCCTTCTGGAGTATGCAGAAGGTGTGGTAAGGGAAAACACTGGACCAACGAATGTAGATCAACAAGGGACAGACAGGGTAACCCTCTGCCTCGAGCTTCGGGAAACTCCCAGAGGGGCCTCAGGCAGGCCCCCACAGTAAATCCAGTTCAAACCTTTCCTGCAGTTGTAGAGGAAACCCCTACTCAAAGCAACTAAATAACCAAATGTCTATTGGAATAAATCATGTTAGTCGAGATGATGAAACAGAGAAAATAGGAAATACAGGAAAAAACATAAAGAAAATTTTTTGGCAAACTTCTATTAATGAACAAAGACCAAAACTAACAATAAAAATAAATGGTGTTTTGTTGTCTGGTCTGGTAGAC